ATTCATTTTCAAATTCAATACATTGAAGTTTTTGGTGATTAAAATATTAAAGGTTAGTTATTTTTGATTTTCATTAATTGGCAAGGTTCATCAACAGTTCATTGAAGTTATACCATAAATTCGCTTAACTAGACCGGTTTAAAATTATCCTACATTATCCTGCACCAGGATAATGAACCATGTAAACGATATGGTCCAAAAATCCCAGTGCAATATTTTTCACACCGGTTTAAACTAGCGAATTTGTAGATAGTTTATATTCAAATTCATAAATTAACCTTTTATTGGTGCTCATTTCTAGTATATTTAGTAAATTATGTATAGTTGTTATCTTCAATACTACATAACATAGTTTCTTAACTAGTTTTAAATTTTCATATTTTGAATTATAGTGCTGTTTGGAAAGTGAATCTAGTTGGTACTTCATGGGGGTCAAAAGTAAAAATTTTCCCTTAGTTTTCAAAAGCGCCTTGAAAAACAATAGAATAATTAATGAAAAGCGTGAATTTGTACGCAAAATCTGTTTTTGAAAAAATCGATTTTGGTTTTTGGTGCAACTCTTTAACAAATGACCTTAGGTACATGGAATTTTGACTGAATGTTTATATTAGCATTTTCTATAGACAATAACATTTTCCAAATATTTTGACTTATTTTGAGCTCTTTAAGGACATTTTCAGTTTCCTTTTTTTTTAGTTTTTTTCTATAAATATCAATACAATTTTATTTGTTGATTAGAAAAGCTTGAAAATTTAATAGAAGGCTCCTAGTATATTGTTTCGAAGGCAGATGAAAAAAAAAAAATCCTTAGTCACAATTTTTTTTTTATAAGTATTTAAAGTTCAAATATTGACAGAATACGTATAAATGACGAAATGTTGCAAATTATTTTGAGTTAGAAATTCTCTTTTTAAATCTAAGATTTTAAAATGCAATACAAGATTCCTCTTAAGTTTGTCTATCTTTATCAAAAAAAATATGTCTACAAGAAACTCAAATTAAATTTTTATGAGCTTTTGAAATTCATATTTTTACAACATTTGATATTCACTCGATTTCTCATGTAAAGATTTTCTTATTTTGTTGTAATTAAAAAACGAATGACTGTAGATACTTGAAAATTTAACTGAATGTTTATATTAGCATTTCCTATACACCATTAAATTTTGAAAATAATTTGACCCTTTTTGAACTGTTTACGGACATTATCAGTTTTCAATATATTTAGTTTTTTTTTTCTATAAATATCAATAAAATATTATTTTTTGGGTAAAAAAGCGTGAAAATGTAATGCAAAGCTACTGATATATTGTTACAATAGCAGTTGAAAAATATTAAAAATACATAGGCACATTTTTTTTTATAAGCATTTAAAATTCAAATTTTGACAAAGTTTATCACATTTAAAATTTAACAATAATTTTGTAGTTAAAAATGTATGAAAGGTCAACTTTATAGCTAAAGATTGAAAATTTTAAACAAGATTCCACGTAAATAGGTTGTATATAAATTACTTTATTCACCTTAATATCATCAAATATACTTGGTAATATCATAGGCTGACTGACGACCGTTTTCGCTCAGAACCGTTTTTCTTATACAATGATATTATATCATTGAATTCAAATTTACCACCATCCATTACAATGACCCACTTGTAACCTACTGTACAACAGAGTGACTTTTTTTTACATATTTTATTTTTATATGAATTAAAATTTTAAAAAAATCATCTGTTTTTCTCTTTATCTTAGGTTGCACAAAAATTTCCATTATTAATCAATTACTCTTTTTTTTAAAAAATTGAACTATCATACCTTAATTATATACAATTATGATGGAGTCCTATATAAATCATTACTATTTACTACCATTTCCTATTTCTCATAATATGCTCGGGGCCGCATTTAGACATTTTGTGCCCCGGTACAAAAAAAAAAATTGCTCCCCCTAAGTGGCCTGCCCACGGAAAATATGGGAGATGGATCCTCATTAACCTTTTAAATTTTGAGCACAGATAAGAATATTTGTTTTACAATGTGTGCTTTTTTTGAAAATATTGTTTAGTAATTGCTATCATTCTCTCTGCAAAGATACATTTGAATTTATGTCACTTAAACCTTGCTTATAATTCATCATATAAATTCTTTTTTTTTAACATATTTAAGTAGGTTGTAGGTACCTACTTCATGAATAAATAAAATAACATTATATTAAACTTTGCAATTTAATATTAATAAAAAAATTTCAAACAGTATAATACTATATATATAATACTAATATACTAAACTATAAAATTTTAATAATTCACAAGTAAACAAATCTCTGCCCACAACATTTTGGTGCTCCTAAAATACTGGTGCCCTGGGCAGTTGTATCCAGGGCCCCTAAATGCAGTCCTGAATATGCTTAATAATGCATAATATTTTTTATCAGATTGTAGTTTTATAAGTTTTTTAAAGATGAAATTAATTTCATAAAAATCACAGTACACGGGGAATATGGACTAAAAGTATTTTAATGTAAATGACGATGACCCATAATTAACCCATTATGTTTTTGGGAATACTGCAGACATTTTTTTTTTTGAATGATTTATGTCAAATTTATAATTTTAATAATGCTGTATGGTGTTGGTAAAATAAATGAAGTCGCATAATGTGTAAGTAGCGATGGTTGATTAGTAGGGAACAGATTTTATTGTAAATACATATTTTTATTGGAATGAAATATTTTTAATCTGATAAAAAATGTATACTATATAGATCATTCTAATTGAAAGAAACCCAAATTTGTTTTACATATTTTAACATAATATTTTAGTTTAAATACATATTTTTACCGATTTCTTATGACGACAAACATTATCTACTTTATCTAAACGGCATCCACGTATCAATACGTTATTGAAAGCCAAAATAAAAAGATAAGTAATTTTTGACTAGAACTAAATACTCTATGTTATCGAAATTAAACTCAATATTATTATGAACATTTATAAAAAATTAAACAAAGAATTTAAAATTTAGAAATTACCAACATTATTTATAAATCTAACAATTTTATGTAATATCTTAATTTTACTTGCATTGCGCCTTCAAATTTTTGTTTTTTGGTACATACGATAATACTGGGAACCCAAAATATGCCCTTGTCAGAAAGCTCATACATTGTTGAAGAAGCAAAAAATAAATTAGAAAAATACAAGGACACGTAGGAGAAAATGTAGTTAATAGAAAAATGTGCAATGTATTCGGGAAAAATCATGGACTAAATATACGTAAATAATTTGACATACCTATATACTACTACTAAATCCCACAGAGTCACTGAATGTTGAACACACACCACTTGATGTAGCTAATAGGAGTATGTCCCCTTTACATCAGTCAATGTAGAACGATCGTTCAGTGAGAACAAAAACATTTCTCGACCAAATCGTCCCCAACTTTGTTATATATTTTTAATTTTTTTTTATATATTATGATAAAAGTGAATACACAAGTTTTGATTTTTTTATTACAATAAAATCTGTTTCCTATTGATTATCATATGATTGATGAGTGAATGACATTCCAAAATGTAATATTGCCAATTGTACAAAATTAGTTATCCATTGACTTTTATTGAAAATAAGGCAGGAAATTCATTATTGCTACCAATTATTATCTAATCATATGTATTGAATTTTTAATACATAAATGTCTAGTTCATTCAAAACATACAATAATTAGTATACATAATAGATTTTGACCTACGCACTATTACTGTTTTTTTTTTAAAATCAAAAACAAATTATTGCCCATATTAAAATTTAAACATCAACTGTGGAGCGGTGATTTTTTTAATGACGCACTATAAATACTACTGAATTTGTAATTTTTAGAATTTAGAATGATTTAATAATAAATTCAACTTTGAATAATATATTAACCACGTTCATACTGTCATTTTTATATTGAGATGGAGTTAAATAAATTTATTACTTTGTTTATAATTTATATTAATAGAAAAATTATCAACTAAATTTTTTCATCTATAGTGTACACGCTGGTATTTACTGTTTACATAACATATTATTGTGCATATTGTGACATTTTGAATTTGGTTTTATTGTATTTTGTGTTAATTAGTAGAAATTAGAGTAACATAATTAATTAAATCAATTAATCAATTATTAATTTTACCTAATTTGTGTTTTTAAATGATTTAAAAATCATATTTTACAAGTATTTATATAATTATACACCGTCATAATATTAAAATAATTATGAAATAAGGCCACTAGAGCCGAAAAAATTAAAAAATTTTATCATTAAAAGTAAGTACTTATTTACTTTTAGTCTTTATAATATAATAATACACAAGAGCTTATCAATTATTATATTATAGCATTGATGATAGCATTGAGATATCTCGTTTTCAGTAGAGTCTGTTGTCTGCTGACCGTTGATTGCGAGTGCTGGGGCTGCATACACAGTTTGTCATTTGATAAATTAATTTCAAGTTATTCTCATTTCTCACCATAAAGTATAAGTTATAGTTGTTTTATTACATTATACTTATTACCAGTTAATAAATAATAATTATGTTAGACGAGACTAACGAGAGCACGAGTTCAATTTCAAAATCACATATTCTATGGCCAGGAGTGGAAAAATATTTTTCTTTTCTTAAAGAGGAAGGGGATAATATAATAGTCAAATGTCATAGTTGCCCATCAAAGTCACTAAGTACATCAAAGAGTTCTCCGTCTAATTTAAAAAGACACATTAAGGTTAGTAAAATTCTAAAATGTAATACTTGTATTATTTTAATTAATGTACCTATGTATCTTATAAGTTATAAATACACACATAAATAACATATTATAGGTATATATTTTTTAAATTCTTTTTTTCTCTTTTCTTACATAACCAAAATTATAAATATGGTACAATTAATTCAAAATAGTTATTATTATAATTATATTTTTATTTTTTAGAGTAAAAACAAAGATAATGAAATTACTAGAAAATGAAGAAAATACGGACGGTGATGATGATGATGAAGACGTAGTTTTTGAAAAAGTTAACGAGTTTCAGTACTTAGGAGCCATGCTGAGTGTCAAAAATGATTGGTCAAGAGAGATTGGAATAAGAATAACAAAGGCTGAAGGGGCACCAATCGCACTACTGAAATCAAAATTATTTTCTAAGAAAACAAGACCTACGTCTAAAAACTAAGACCCACGTTAACTTATGGATGTAAAACCTGGACAACCACTAGTAATACAGAGAAGAGACTAAGGACTTTCGAAAATAAAATATGGGGAATAATTTGTGGTTCTGTCTATGATAACAGAACAGGTGTGTGGAGAAGAAAATTTAATCGAGAACTACAGGATGAGTTGGGATTGGCACTAGTCAGTAGCTTTATAAGTGGCCAGCGAATATAATGCCTTGGTTATGTAATGCGCAGAAATGAGGAAGAGACGGTTAGGGCAGTACTGGAATGGAGACCTACAGGGAAGAGGCCTAGGAAGAGATGGTTGGATACAGTGGAAGAAGATCTCAAGAAAATAGAAGTATGAGAGTGGAGAACAATAGTTCATAACAGGGAAGAATGGAGGCAGATCGTGATGGGGGCGAAAACTCTTCAAGAGTAATAAATGCCAGCAGAAGAAGAAGAATTTTTTAGAGATTACTATATATATGATGAGTTTGTTGAAGTGTGTCATTCAAAATTACAATTGAAACGTTCTGGCTCTACTTCTGGAGATAATACATCATAAATAGATATATAAGAACAGATAACTTAAGATGCTTGGGGATCAAGAAAAGATTTATTGTATTTCAACAAACTGTTGATAAGCATATTTTACAATTTGTTATTGAAGAAATGCAGCCAACAAGTATTGTTGACAAACCATCCTTCCAAAATGTAGTATTTTTAGGATTACCTAAAAATGTAAGTGTAATGTGTGCAAAATTTTTATGGAGTCGTATTGAGAAAGCTGGTGGTCAGTCCATGCAAGAAGAATTGATTAAAAAGTTATCCGGCATTCAATTTATAGCTACAATTGCAGATTGTTGGACAAGAGGTAAAAAGAGCTATTAAGGAATAACTGGACATTGGATTAATGTAACTACACGTGCAAAGGAAAGTGCTTCATAAGCATGTAAGCTCCTTAAAGGAAAATATACATATACTTTATTAGCATAATCAATGCATGATATATATTTATCATTCAAAATACAGAACAAAGTAGTTGGTACAACAACCGATAATGGCAGTAATTTTGTGAAGGCATTTAAAACTTATTACACTTTGCCAAAACTTGAAGATAATGAATTGGAGGATGGAGATGACAATGTTTTAGAAATTATTGATTTGACTCAAATACTAGAAGAAGGAGAAAACAATTTAGAAGAAACTCAAGAAACCACTATACATTTACCTCGTCATTTCAGATGTGCAAGTCACACAATTAATTTAGTAGCAACTAGTGATATTGATGCATATTTTATTGACAAGAACCAAATTAATAAAAAGAATCCTTCATTTCCATCACTTAAGAAATCGTACAGGAAAGTTATGGCTAACCTATTTAAATTATGGTCAAAACAAAACCAATCACAATTGCTACACATTAGAAGTTTATTTGAAAGTACCCAACAAAACATGTTGGAACTCATTATTTAACGCTTTAATTCAAATAAAAAATCTGATAGCATCTCACAATATTGCTAAATTTCATGATATAATGAATTTTTGTACCCTAAACAGACTGTTTCAAACAGAGATGTTCAATTAATAAACGAATATTGTGGCACAATGACTCCCTTAGCGTGTCATTAGACTTTTTACAAAGCGGATCTAGGATGTACATAGTACATGGGATATTTATTGTCTACATTATATTCATTGAAGAAGAAGTATAGTGTGCTAAAACATAAGCCTTTACAATATTGTTTACCAATTGTAATTTGCATCAGTACTTCTGTTACAAAATGGTAAACTGCCGAATTAAGTACTTTAGTTAAAAATTTTAATAAATTATTTTTATTGTAAGTAAACATTGATTTAACCATCAATTTTATTTTTCAGGTTCAATAATACATGATAAGTCTGGTATGTTGGTATTTGATAAGTCCCTTGTTATTGCATCTGCATTAATTCCAAGATTCAAACTTATGTGGGTTCCAAATACAGAATACTTGGTGTTAAAGCATTGCTTAAAGCTAAATTTGAAAATTAGGACAACAGAAATTCAGATACCACCCAAAATAAAAACGAAGGAGTTAAAGACAAAGTTAATGATTTTTTTGGAGATATTTTGAGTAATTCTCATAGTGTTATGTCTAATGAATAATTTAATGATTTTCTACATTCTAATAATACGGACATAAAAATGATTTTAAATTTTCCTAAAGTTTTAAAGAAGTTTTTGTATTATAATACAGGATTACCATCAAGCGCATCTGTTGAACGTTTGTTTAGTACAACTGGTGGAAATATTATGTCTTTAAAAAGATTTTCTTTAACTGATATGATGTTTTAAACCTTAATTATGTTAAAGTAAAATAAAATCTATATTTAAATACACTATAATACTGTATACAATATAATGATTAATATATACTATAGTCTTTAGTAATAGTTATATGTACAGAAGAACAGTTTATTTATATAAGTTAAAACTATTACTAAATCTCTAAATAACAATGTGTTATGTTTAAAATTTTAAAATTAAAACAATTATAGTATAAAAATTTAAAGTGTACCTATTTTTTTTTATTTGATTTTACTTCACATTAAAAAGGAACAAGGAAAGGAACTAGTTCAGAGCCTTTCTTTAAGACAGGAGCGGTAAAGTATTTAGTACCTTTTTAACAAGAAGAACATAAACGTGAACTAGTTCCTTTTTTAAAGGAACTTTCCAAGCACTGGCAAAGACCCACCAGTTGTGATATCTCTTGTCACATCTCCATTAAAATTTAACTCTACTGAACAATTTGCCTTGCCATTGGATACTACTAATCAACTAACTATTAAGAATAATGATTGATATTTGATAATATGTTATAAATACATTATTTGTATCTAAGCTTTCAATAACTATATTACATCTATAGTTATCGAAAGCATAGCTAAATAATGAATAATTTCATTCTATTTATGCCACTGACTCAACTGGGAAATCCCATTTTTTAATGACTGATACCATGACTGCATACCCAATATGAATACAATAAACATCTAACTTTCAGTCATGTCCACTGATATACTATCTTTAATCGTGGCTATGTCCAACCATGGATTAAATAAACAGGTATGTCAGCTAAAATCACAGATATATATAATATATTTTATTATATATATCTGTGGCTAAAATGTAATTTTCGCCATCGCCGGGCATGTTTCCCAGACCATGATATAACTAGTTATATCATGTCCCAGACATGAAAAGAATAATATAAAATGGATAATGTAGATTATTATTGCCTACAATATTTTAGCGTTTATTTCAAACCTGAACATTGGCATAACTAGGGGGGCTTAGCCCCCTGACAAATATTTAGCCCCCCCCCCCCAAAAAAAAAAAAAAAATAAATTAAATATCCCTCATTGATTTATAAATTATAAGCCCCCTATGGATTATTTTTAAATGAATAGTTTTGTTAGGTTATTTTAGCCCTTCCAGATTTTAACCCTAGTTGTGCCTATAAACCTAACCTAACCAACCAATCACAGACATTCTTGGGATCGTATACCTTACCTAACCAGGCTTTCAACATCCAACGGGTTTATTCAAAACATCATAAATTTCGGTATTTTACCTTCACAAGTCACAAAAGCTCGTTATTGGCTAACCTGTTTTCCTTGTGTTACCAAGAATTTGGGAAATTTGGCAATGGCGTCCCTTTGTAACCATGTTGCCACATTAACGACATGACCCTGTCTTGTCGTTAGTCTTTAATAATTCGACCTTTTTCGAGTCGGGACTCTAGACTCGGATGACCGATTTTATGAGATGTAAGATTAAAAAGATTAAAAAGATTTTAAATTATAAGGAAATATTAAATAATGAAAATAACTTGTAAAATTGCGTCTCGCAAGCATGCAACTGTCGTTTGTGATAACATCTGCGCGGTCACACTGTTTACAGGCCCGACTACGCGTTCCTTGTTATTGTTTGCCTAAAAAATGCCTATATCTACTGCCCCACTCCATTACCTGATTCGTTGATGCCCGTTCCTTATTGGTGTAGATGTTTTATGGTGGGATTCCGTATCCACCGGGCCTGCTTGTGATTTTGTTCCTCGTTCGTTCTGCGTTGCCCTTTTGCAGTTTTGCACCAACTACAAAGATCTCGGATTTTGATATCTGAAAAATCCAGCGGGCTTGACACCGTCGTTCTTCGATCGTTTGGATTTTATATCGGCTGCTCGTGCGCCGCGGCTGTCCACTCGGCGGGTTTTCAAGCTATTCATATCGGGTACAGTCCACCGAAACTCCGTCTGATCCAGACAATCCGTAAGTTGCTTTCATATGACTAGTTGCATAATGGCGTTTGCCGCGCGTTACGGTAAACGGCGTTCGGGTATAATCGCAGCAACCTTGTCAGCTTTTCCTTCAATGTTAATCAATTTGACTTGCAGAGTACCTCAGCGGTTTTTTCATTAGTTATATTATGCGTACTGTCTTGTAGAAATGTGTATTTTAGATCTGATGTCCGAGCGATGAGTTGAATTGAACTAAATGTGCGTCTCATGTTTGTCGACGGACTACTCAGAAAATGTGAATTGATACTTAATTTACTCAAACAGACGTATACGCTTAAAGTACCCTGTGTTACGTACACTTAGGTGTATGTATCATTTTGGCATAAACTGCAGGCTCGATATTTGATATTTAAAAAAATATTTTTCAATTTACTTGTACCCTTTAGATCGATTTAGATTTGAGCACTTCAAACTGTTTTTTAACTCTTTTTATGTACCATAGGTATAGGTAGAGGCTAAGTTAATATGACGTTACATGATATAAATAACAACGTATGGTCGGAGATTTTTAATGGTTAGATCCTTCGGTAGGCATGTGACAGCTTTTTACTTTTTTGTTTTTATTTGTCGTATTGTCATTTTTATATTGTAATAATTAAGACGATTTAACACTACAGTGTGAGATCAAATAACTTAACAATTTGCACATATACTAATTAACACAGACAAGTTAACGAGTAGGTTACCGAAAACTGCAATCAACTATGTCTACCTATTTGTTGTAATGCTACAGTAGTTGTCAGTTACCTATATTATATAATTAAAAACCCAAAAATATAGTATTTTTTGTTTACCTCCATAACATGTACTATGACAGCATTATGTCATCAATAGATATTATTTTCTGTAGAAGTTATAATAAATATTAACGTGAAGTACCTATCACTTTTCAACTTTTATTAAACATGTATTATACAATTATAAGATAACTACAAAAACATGGTATTGTCCGGAATCACCCCCCCCCCCCCCCCCCACATGTCCGAAGTCACCCCATTTTACAGTATGTTATGTGTTAGTAAAGAGTAGACATCTCATATTCTCATGCATGTATGTACAACATAGTTTTAAACATTTTACAAATATTACGTTTGAATAGGTATCCCCATATATTTTACTTTTAAGTCGATACAGATGTTTGAAATATTTAAAATGGTTCTTGCCATTATTTTATTATCAAGTCAATTTTTCCCCAGTTTAGCTACATGGTTTATATTAAGTAAAGTAGCATAATCTAGATCAAGGAACATTTTCAATTTAAACTGTCTGCGAGCGAAACTATAAATTTATACACTAAAGTACTTGAGATTATATTTAAAACAGATATATAAATAGTGAACACATATCACATACTGCAGTAGGTGAAATCAACATAAAAAAGTTATTACAATTAATTGATTATTGAATAGAATTTCTGTAAAATTTGGAATATATGTGATTTTATTTTAACTTACATGAATTGTCTTTAAATTATATTATTTTTTACAGAAAAATGTCTGGTATTGCATTAACTCGATTATCCGAAGAACGTAAAGGATGGAGGAAAGATCATCCATTTGTGAGTACTAATATGTTTTAATATACTACATGTCTACATGTAATGATTTAAAACAATTTTTTTTATCTCAAGGGTTTTGTGGCTAAACCAGGCAAAAATCAAGATGGTTCATTGAATCTTATGGTTTGGGAATGCTATATACCTGGGAGGAAGAGTGTAAGTATTAATAACATTTTTTATTTAATTATACACATGTGTGATTTGATCAATAGAAATGTCCACAAAATTAATAACATAATAATAATATTATTCTAGTTCTGAGCATACCTAAATCTGTTTCCTAGCTATTTTTTTATAAATTAATTAATATTGTTTTGTTTATTAAAACATTTTGTATAACTTTAAAACATTATTATCTGCATTCATAAAATACTTATTGTATAATATATACATTATGTTAATAAATTGGAGTTAGCAGCTCTAATTTGAAATATTATGCAGATATTGTAGTGCAGTTTTTATAATGCAATTTATGACTAAAAAAACTGGTATATGACCAATGCTTCCCTTTTATCACCGTCTAAATTTCAAATACACGTAGTTAATTTAAATATTACTATTTTTGTTTCAAAGTTTAT